CACTTTATTGCATTTAATTCCAAAGCAACGCCTGCGGGTATGCTTCATTTCAATTTCCAATGGCAACAAATGAATTAGTAAACGAAAAAATTGATTAAAATTGGGCTGTGCAAACATAGCACATTAATAAATGCATATGCACATCAACATGCATGAGTGTATCTGTAGATATGTGCTTACATTCGAGCGAATTTGTTTACTTTTAAGTGCTTGCACATTGAACTTTCCACAGCCAAAAACCAAAATTAAATTACAAAATCCAGCGGAAAATACTACATATCAATATTTATATTTTAGAATGAAAGCAGATATGTCCTACACATGTACATATGTATAAGTATACGTGTACATTTGTATGTGTGCAGTTATATGTATTGGTTTAGTCAACCCGCATTCAACTCGAACATGGCAGCAGTTTCGGTCAAGTGGATAGATACAGTCAAAAGCACACGTTCCATGTTGGCACGCACACACGCTCAAAGAGATGCAATCAAATTTTCAGCACACACACATATAAATGTGCATAACCACAGTTAAATATAGCGTTAACCACACCTACAACACAGAAGTTTCTCGAATAAAGTAAGGCTGCCACATGCAGCCACTTTTCCCTCTTCACTCTGCAATTCTTCATACGCTTGGCTATTGCATTTCCGCTCAACACCAACCGACGCTCGGTTGTGCGCTTTCACCTCCCTCGAACAACAATTTACTGCTTTCTTGTCGTCTTCCTTGGTGTTCTCTCCTCACTCTTGTGAGCCGCTCCTCTCTCTCCCTTGTTTTGTATTTATCCTTCTTCAATCGATTTTCAACTTCCGCTCGTTTTTCCACTTTGACAAAATGGCGTTTCCGTATTTTCAGCTTCCTCACTCTCCGCATCTGCTCAGCATCCTCCTTGCCTACTCTGGTTGCTTTGTCTGATATGCGCTCTACGCTGACACTTTTATGTCCACTTTATACACTTCTATTTTGTATTTTTCATTTATTATTGCATTTTTATCATATCACAGTGATGTGGTTGGAGCTTTCGCTCTATCTCTTGTTGGTTTTTTTGGTCTCCAAGTTTTTTTTTTCATTCTTCCTTTGTTCATGTGATCTCTGACTGACCATTATTACATTGCCGGTGCAATAACAATAGAAATAATTTTTATGTTATTTATCAAGTGACCCAATGGGAAGTGGTAACTAAGTGACCAGCGGAAGCTAAGAGAGGAGCTTGTAGCATTTAAATGGTCGACATCTTTAAAGTGTGAAACAAAAGGCAAGTTATTCATAAATGAAGCTATTCAAAAGCTCATTGGATATCGAAAGCTTTTGAAAGCTTAACCTACCAACAAACAAAAAGGAGCCTAAGGTCTTAGGGCATTATAAAAATAATTAAAATATGTACAGAACAGGCTTAAAATGGTTTTAAAAATTAAAAGCTCCAAATGTATAAAAGCTAAAGCTCCAGAATCTATACTTAAAGCTTGTTAATACCAAAGATATTTTACATGCATTCAAAATTTAAAATTTGCACGATTTTTTTCTAAAAAAAAAAGCTCTGAAAAAAGCTCTTTGTACAGCTTTTAATAGTTGCATTGATCGCACTCAAAATTTTCAATAAGAATTTAAAATTTTTAAAACAAATCCATATATTGAATTCAGAATTCGAAAAGGCCAGAAATATACAAACGAATAAAAAAGTATTTATACTTTTTAGTTAGAGAAAGTAATTTTTTTCACGTCTTTCATAAACTCAATTAGGCAAAATTTGCCACGATTTGATTTCCTATGACCTTCACCTAACTCTCGCCTAACTCTCGCCACCTGCCTTGTCCTCCGCAGCTTACTGACGTCCAATTCAATTATAATTATTTTGCCTTTAAGCGCAATACACCCACTCACCCAGTTTTTCCTTCCAGGCCAGCAACCCAGCAGCTGTTCGTCCAGCTCGTCCTCACATCCTGTTCGACAACTCGCATTGCCACTTTACTAAAAGCTTTATGTGCATGAATGTTTATTTGGCAGTCTATGTGTGTGTTGTAATAATGAAAAGTGCTTGTTGTCAAGCATATATGCAAATGCCTGCCTCCCTGCCTGCTTGCCTTTGATTGAACGCCATCGAAGCCCGCTTATGTCATTTAATGCATTTCCATTGTCCTCTCGTGCACAAATTCTACTCGTCACCGTTATTATTTTTTTTATTTCCTTCTTTGCCTTTTGCTCTTCTATGCAGTGTTGACATATGCAAATTATACACTTTCAGCACACAAGCGAACACACATGCACATAGCGGAGATGAAAGTGCTGTAGAGGCCATGCAGGATGAAAAGTAATCGTATTGTAATTGTTGGCTTTGGTGTTGTTATTGTTGTTGCGATGGAGATTTCAGCTGGTCGCTATGCAGTCATAAGATACGCTGTTTGTTGTAACTGGATTTTTGTTTTTTTTTCTATGTCCTTTCATACATTTTTTACACTCGCCTTCAGCTGTGCACTGTGCAAGTTTTCCGCTCGTACATCCTGCCGTCATTCGTTGTCCATTGTAATTGCATTTTTATGTCATTATCTGTTTTTTAATTAATTACATAACCCCTCTCTGAACGCTGGCAAATGATGGGGGAAATAGTAATAATCAGCAACAGCCAAGTGATGTAGTCTGCTTTCAGGCGTTCCATGGACAGGTCATGTAAGAGTTCCCTGGCACGGCCTTCAATCGATAAATTTGCCATTTTTTCTCTTCGCAAGTGCATAAATTCAAGTGAGCAATAAGCACTTGACTGCACTCAGGCCCAAGCGCACACACATACACACAGAGAGCTTTAGCACTTCATATATGCAACAGCGTCGAGTATTTTTGGTTTTATTTTCCGCATTTTTTTTTCTAATTTTTTCTCTCTTCCTGCCTGCCTGCCTCTTCAGCTGCTTGAGTGCTTGTGCAACTCGAGAGGTGTAAATATTTTGCCTTTTCAAGCATGTAACAACAACAACATAGGAAATGCATACAAACACAATTACACAATTTCGCCTTGCAAGTGAAAAGAGGCCAATTTCTTGGCTTCCGCGTGAATATATTATTTTTGGCTTTCCTTTCTTTTATATTCGCCCACATTTTTTATGCTCACTCGCCATCTTTCCCCTATTGCTCGCTCGCCCACCCTCTCTCTCTCCCTCTTTCTGGTGTTGACCTCAAGCCATTGTGTTCTTTTGTTGTAAGCGCCTAAAATTATATTAAGTTCTTTCAGTTTGAATTTTTATCCTCTTCTTTTTCGTACATGTTGCATGTTTTGAAAAGTTAAGCAGTCAAGCAGTTAATAGCCATTAGTCCACTCACACACACACACACACACACACACACACATATATAAACACACATAGGCGTACAGGCACATTGTTCGCTCTCGTTTGCAAAAAATAAACCGGCGGCGCCGTAAACAGCCGGAAATGCTCGGTGTGTGCGCTTTTGAAAGCTTTTTGTTGAATGAAATTTATTTACCGTTATATACATACTTATATTAGTACTTTGGTGATAAATATTGTAGCAAGCCTAGCATAGAAAAAGAAAGAAAGAAGCGCTGTCTTCTCATAACTAAATAATCGGTTTTGTGAAAATTGTTATATTCTGATCATCCGATTTCGATGACTTTTTATTATTAATTTACTGCTACAGCAGAGAACTTATATACACTTTAAACTAAATACTCGAGGGTTTCATACCAAAAAAAAATTGTAACGAAAGGAGATTCTCGTTTTCACACTTTCACTCTTTTATTTTTTAAGGAACAAAATAAATTCTATATATGGATATAGTTTCATAAACTTTAGTTTTTCTATAAACAAACCGAATTTCACTATGCATGAAAGTTTTTTAATAATTTTTAACGATCTAGGTCCGTACATACCACACGTTAATTCATTTTTCAAGAGCTAGATAACCTTCTATCAACAATACACCCATCACCAAAGCAAACAAAATCGGCTGAAAATTTACAACATCGCTTGGGTACTATAAAAAAGTTTAATCGTGGAAAAGCTTTTAACTTCAATTGAAATATGACAACGTTGCAAATATTTTTTGGAAATTTCTGAGCATTCGAATGAGACAATCGACCTTTCCTTAAAAAAGATCTACTAAAAGCGACAATGCCAGTTTTTCAGCTCAATACATATACACACGTTGCCAATTTTCACTTCATCTCTGCTACCATTTAAGATAAAAAAGAAAAAAGAGAAAAATTGTAGTTGCTTTATTTCAAGTGAAATTTGGCAACATAGGAAAAAGACGCCACTATTAAAAAGCGTAAGAACTGAGCGTGAATCATTTTCTTTAACACTTTTAAGTAAGTTTTCTTTCATATTCTTTCTCAGAAATTCTTTCCCATATTTTAAAATAACGGTTTATAGCAAATGCAATATGGCAACGTTGCAAAAAATTCTAAAATTATAGTACTACTTTTCAAGCGCATAAAAAGCTTTGCGTTGGTGTGTGAAACTCAAAATATACCAACGAGTGGGCTTGACAGCTGCTAGTTTACCAACGCTCATTCATTACCGTAATTTATACGCTTAGGAAATGGAATTCTTTTCCGCATTTTTTCTTCACTTCTTCCTCCTCCTTTTTTTGTTGTTATCCTAATATACACTGTAGTTCAGGTTCATATATTATGTCACAAAAATGTAAATTAAATAATGTAAATGACTAAATTATGCACAAAGCAAGATTGTAGTGGACGGCAGGCAGATGACTGAGCAAAAGAGTTAATGGCCCTTGGTACATACTGGGGAGGGGGGCGCAGCAGTTTCTCTATAAACGAATATTCAGATTTAAGAAAGCAGAAATATTTAATAGATATATATATGTATGCATGGAAGTGTAAAAAGGTCTCAAATATGTTTTTTAAATAATTTTTTGATTTTTTTTTAGGTTAAGTAAAATTTTTCCGAGGAAAAATTTCGTGTAAAAAACAATAAATTTTAATAAAATTTCGCATTAAACTTTGTTCTAAATTATCCGCTTACCTTAGATTTCTTCGCTCTCTCACTCCGTTTGATATTTGTATATTACTCTCTCTCTCGCTCTCTGTCTTTCAGTTGATTTGTTTTGTTGCTATATTACTAGAAAATAAGTTCATTTATTTGTATAGTTGGTATATAAAATCACTTTTCTGGCCGTTTAGCTGGTCTTTATGTTATTCTCTCTCCTCGCCGGTGTGTCTGCTCAGTTGATATCGCTAGCTTTTGCGACGATGCTGCCAATTTTCGCACACAAGTGTCGTGTTCAGCTTTTACCCCACTTTGATATTAATTTTTTTTCTTTAAAATATCAATGATTATTGCATTTTTGCACTGTTGGCAATATCGCCGCTTATCATGGACGCGGCACACCTTTATTTTTTCTGCTACGTTGCCGATTTTCACTGCTAACCCCTTGGAATGCAAGTTTTATGTTTGAAAAATATAAGTTATGTGAATTTTCTTAGTTTTATGGTCAGCTATTGGATATTACTATTTTCAATGATTTTCGAAGCCTTTGAAATTATACAAAACTTTTTATTTGTTATTTTGCGCCTGCGACACACTTTTCTTACTTTCGCGGCTTTTTTTATAATACTTTAAAGTATGCGCTTTGACGTGAATTGCTTTTTAGTAAAAATCGTTTTTGTTTTTGTTTTAAATTTGGCCTTTTTAAGCTGCTAATGTTAACCGATATTTGTGTGCTAGTGTGCTTTTACTCGGAAATATTCGTCCGTGGCGACACTGCTGCTTTTGTTCGTCGCCTTTTGAAGTCGTTGGAAGTACGTTTGTCTTAAAAACTTTACACTTTGGCTTTTTATGTATAATGTTTTTTGGAAAAAGTCTAAAATCTTGTTTACAACACGTTTGGTGTTTAAAATATTGTATTTCTATTTATTTATTTATTTTTTTTTTTAGTCTTTTTGCTAGTATAACATATGTATGTATATATAAAATCAGTTCCGTTTTTATTTCTTTAAAATCTTAGACATTCATACTATGATTTCCCTTTTTTTAATTTTTGTTTTATTTTTCAGTTTTTTTTTTTTAAAAACCGCTACACTTATCTATTTACTTTACGTGGCATTCAACGCTTTCGTTGCGTACTTTTCTTTGAATAAATTCTTTAAATGTTTAAATATGCTAATAATGTTATGTAAGTAGTATATTTTTAGGCGCTATGAAAAGTACAAACATACACAAACACCGAAAAAATCGTTACAAATGTTTATTTGAATTAAATTTTATATTTTTAATTTTTTTTTTAATTAATTTTATTCATTTAAATGTTACATAATAATACTGCAAACACTGTTCGCTCCGCCCGTGTTGTTGGCTTGCTACGGTGCGTTGTTGCCAATTTTCACCAGTGTACTCAACAACGGCTTGGTGACATAAACAGTAGTAGTGGTAATAGTAGTAGTAGTAGTAGTAGTAGTGTAGTAGAAGTACTAGTAGTATTTTTTTTTATTCTTATTGTTATTGTAATTTTTCTCTATTTTTTAATGATACCGTACTAAATTGCTTATCTTTTACATTGATAATGTCTCGCGACTTTTCACTCTACTTTCTGCAAGCTCAAATCACCGAAAAGCTCTTACACTTGGCAGCTTTGTATTGAGCTTTCGCTAGTGTGCGTTTTTACTTTTACCGTAAATGAATTTGAATAAGGGTTCTTTATTTAAATTTTCGTTTTCTTCTGCTTTTAAAAAGTTAAATCACTTTGAATTCACAACTAGGAAACTCGGTCGCTTTTTATTGATTTTTAATTATTCTTCTTTTTTTCTGACGCTTTTCTTAAGCTTTCACCATTTGCTCAATTATTAAGCTTGGATTTCGTGAAATGATATAAGACAAACCGAAGATATTTGACTTCCAGAAAAATATTTGAAAAAATATTTAATAATCGATACACATGTATGAAAATATATCGATTTTTAATGCTGTTTTTAGGAAAATATTTTGCAAAATTTTCACGAATTGTCCTTTTATGTTCTTCTTTCCTTTCTATGATTGTTTTGATATTTGTGTATATATCACTTCCGCTTGATGATTGAATTTTTACTCTCTCCTTTTTTCCTTCTGCATTCGAAGTAGATCACACACTCAAGCAGCTGGAAGTTGGAGAGAGAGTAAAAGAGAGTTTTGCAATAAATTGTGAGCGGAAATATTTATTGGAGTTTGAGTGTCGATTGAAAGTAGATTAGGTGAATGAAATTAAATGTGAATTTCATTATATATATTTATACATATACATATATGTAACAAAATTCAATGTAATGAAAAATGAAATTTAAAATATAATAATAAGAGATATATGAATAATATTATGTAAACTAATACAAAATAAAATTAAAAATTTAATACTATAAATCTATATAAAAAATAAAACACATTGAGTGACATAAAATATTAAAAAAAAAAACTAAATAAAGGAAAATAAAATATAAAACAATTCAAAAAAAAATTAAATATGAAAAATTAAATAAAGTGAAGTAGACAAGAAAATAATTAAAAAAAAATAAATAAAATAAATAAAATAAAAAAAAAAACAAACTAAAACACAATATAATAAATTGATTAGAATTAAATGAAAGTAAACAAAACTTTTTTGAAAAATTAAATTATTTTTAAAACACAACATCAAAAAAAAGTTAAATTAAAAAATAAATAAAATATACTGTATACTTAAAAATTTTAATAAAGTTTCCTGTACTCTTTTTTACAAAAATATAAGTATTTTTTAAGGTTTTCAATTTAAAAATTCATAAAATATTGAAAATATGTTTGTTCTCTCTTTTAAAATTTTTTTTTTAATTAATTTTGCTTTTTTTATTTTTTTAACGCATATTTTAAATTAGCACAAATCAGTAAAAAAAAACTTTAAGACTTTTGCAAAATTCGTATAAGTATTCCTATTTACATACATATACATATGGGTGTATATACGGATAGCCACACCCCACACCACAACTGCACAATCCTTTGTACATACTTACCCTTAACGAGCTGATTTGCAGGCAAGTAAGCCGAACAGCTGTTCGGAGAAAAGAAATTTTCGTTTGAATAAACGTTTGTTGGCTTTCTGCTCGATAATTACGCTGGGTTGAATATTTTTGATGCAATTTTGCTATTCAGCTAAAATTCCCAGTCCAACTGAGATGCAGTTAAGCGCAACCAATTTTTTTTTTTTTTTTTTTGGAGAAAATTTTTTTTGGAATATTTTCAAAAATGTAGTTGAAAATTTCTAAAACGTTTCAAAACTTGTTTATGGAAAGGAATGTGCTATTTCTTGGCTAACACTGAAACTCGTCAGGTGCTCTATGTCCTTTCAATCAGCTGTTGTTGTTGTTGTTGTATACACCTGTCTTGCCTCTGCTGGCTGCCTGCTCTCCCTTCAAGCGCCGGCCGCTGCTTGGCTTGAATTGTTGAAATGTTTTTGTTGTAAACAAAAAGTTTGCCCACAACTGCTGCCGCCGTTGCTGCTCCTGCTATCGATTCAGATTCAGATTCAGATTCAGATTACTACTTCTTGTTGCTGTTGTTTTCTTGGTTTTTCCTGTTTTTGTTGTTCTACGAAACAAGGAGAAATCATATAGCGACGCAAATTATAAATTATATGAGTAGAATAATACAAAACGCGCTTAAAAAAGAGCCGCGTTTGCTTTTGGATACGTCGAAGACCGCACTCGTACTCGTACTGAAGGAGCTCAATGGCTAGCTGGCTGCCTGGCTGCCACAACATGTCATTTGTTGAGGAACCGAAAATGTCGAAGGCGAAGGCGAACGAGCGCCAGCCAAATAGCATAACGACGGGATACACGAACTGCAAAGCCACCGACCGTCAGCTGTATGTGCGATAGTTAATGCACTCGGCGCAGTCGATATCTGCCTACCGCCGTTGCTGCCGTTGCTATCGCTGCTGCTGTATTCCTCTTTATCAGAGCACCTGTTTTCCTTCTATATACGCCCTGAAGTATGCAATTCTGCTGTTCACAGCGCGCCGTCGACTGCTGACTGCATGTGCACGACGACGTCGCTTGAAATTAGGGGAAAGCACAGAAAAGCTCGGGAGCTTTTCCTGCAGCCAACCAGCCAGTATGCAAGCTAACCGGCCAGGTACATGCCTTGTCAGCTTAACAATGGGAATAGCGGCAGCAGGCGACGCGGAAGCCGAGTTCTTGTGCATTGTCGGGTCACTGGTGCAGCCATAGGGACTGGCTCAGACCGGGAAAGCCGGCCGGGTTGCTGCAAGTGACAGCGTAGCAACGAGCGTGTGGCAGTGGGGGTGTTGTTGGAGTAAGAAAATTTTTGTAAACAGAAAATGCGGGTGCAAATGAGTTTATAGCTGGGATGAACCACTACAAACATGTGTACATACATATAACTTACGAATTTATTTACGTTATATTTACTAGTAGCACAATTGCGAAATTTTCTGGTGCAAAAGGCGAAAAAAATCTCGAGTTGAATAGAAACCGAAAAAATGATTGAATACAAGTTTAACAGCATAATTTGTGCGCTATTTTGTTCAAAACCTTTTCATATCGACTACAAAGCACACCGCCAATCACTAAGCTTTTGGTATTCGGTCAATTTTATTATATAAATTTGTATTTAATATTATTTTATTATGATATCATTCAATATCTTCCATTCAAAAGCTAATTCTACTTCAGTCAAGTCATCAATCATTGCAAAAACTGCTGACGGCCACTGATTTTTAGTAAGGCAGCAAGCGCTTTGCTGGTAAATAAGAAGATCAATGATTTATTCAAAACTTTATTTCCTTTTATATGCACATATATACGGCACCGAACAATCATCAATCACAAATGACAAACGCAAATGATTTTTGCAAAACACTCATCGCGACTAAAAATAATTTTTTTTTATCTAGACAAAAATCCTTAATTTGAATGAAAAGTTGTTTTCAATCATTTGTTCAATCATAAGTTTACTTTAATTTTGTTTAATAAACCTCAAATAAAAAAGTAAAAAAGTTATGAAAAGTTGTTTAGTCGAATTCCACCATTCTTCCATCGAATTCTGGCTTATTTGCTTGTCAATCATTTGTTTAATTTCAATAAATCCCTAAATCAATCAACACTCCCCAAATAAGTAAATACCAAGCAAGTCTGTAATTCAAAAATTACATTGTTAAGAAAAACGTCTTCAATCAAGCCTTCAATCAATTAAAAAAATGCTAAAATCGAGATCAAACTTTTAGAAAATAATTAGCTGTATTTATAAAAATTTATATGAAAGTACTTTATCATCCCCTAACTACTTTTTAAAACCCTCTTTCCACGCAAATATTTATTCTAATCAATCATTAAATTAGAACCTAATTTGAATCTATTATTAATTGAAAAATGCGGTTAAATTCATTAATCACTTGTATTGTATATAATATATAGTAGTTATATATCTAAAAATTATATTTTTTTGCAAAAGTATGCAATCTTGATCTTCAATCAAAGCACCAATCATTACCAAAGCTGCTTTAAAATTAGCATTCAACTTCCTATGCACTGCAGTTGGTATAAATTACTTTGCAACACCTTTTTCTTCTCATAATACTGCAAATTTTTACTATACAATCATTCAATCATTTCATCAAGCTTTTACAATTTAGTTATTTTCTGTAATTTTTCCTTTTTCTTAAGGAAATAAATGTACCTTAAGCAAAGCCTTAAAATAATTGAAACTTATTTCGCCTTCAATCACAATATCAATCATTTATTTCGCTTTTATTTACACAGCCATTTTCTTCCTTTTATTACAAATAGTTTCCAATGTAAAACCAGTCAAGCATTTCACCAATCTTTTTCACTCTTTCACAAGAAAAACTTACGAAAACTTGAAATTTTAAACCGAAAACTATAGCATCAGTCATTTCAGTATTGAAATTCGTCGTGTAATAAAATATCTGCTCTTAAAAAATTCGTGGTTGAACATTTCAATCATTTTTTTTTTTTCAATAATTTTCTTGTTCGAAATTTCGAATAAAATTACTTCATTTATATGTTAACTCGATTTTCTCAACATTCATTCAACTAGAGTTAACTCAATCAATCAACTTTTCAAATAACTGTCAATCAAATTATTTAATTATCATTTCAAATTAGCTGTCAAGCAATCAATGCTTGTTCAAATAATATATTGCCCTCACTAACTTAACCAGATACGCTTTAAAAGCCCACCCAAACGCCTCTTTAACTCACCTACTTTCTGATGCACCGTTACACGTTTCAAGCTTCAAGCAATAAATCACATTTTCAAATCAACTCGCAGGACAAGCAAGAAAACAAGCATGAAACTCAATTCAACTCTATCTACCCACTTGACATACCTACACCAATACAAACTTATTGCACGCGCTCCTGCGCTCCTCTGCTCCTCTGCTCGTCATTTGCTCTTGGTGCTCGTACCTCGTCTTAATAACGCTCATCGTATTTAGCCTATTTATGCTTGAAGATTTTTCAAACATTCCCTACGCTTATCTGCTATAATTCGTGGAGCTTTGGTTGGCCACACTAAATACTAAATGCTTAATATCTAAATCCTTCACATCATTAACGAAATCCACGCGTCGCCAATATGAATGAGAAGTGCGGTAAAGGGGAGAAAAAGAGATAGAGAGGGAGAGGCAGTGGAAGAGGAAGAGGAATAGTGAGGTAACGAGCTTTAGAAAGGAAGCAGGATATGGAGCAATGCAGCAGTTTCCCAATTACATTATATTATATAAATATGCATACATACATACAATATATAGTATGTGTACTCGTATTTACCGCTATGTTAAGTAAAATCCTGTTCCATTTATTACGAGTATCTAGAGAACGTAATTTCATTTCGGTGCGGGAGAAGCTACAGCGAAAACTACAACGCATTGAAAGCGGGATGCACCTAAAATATCGATTTTTGCGAGCAGTGTTGCCAACTTGGTGTTCTTATTGTCATTTAGAAGTGTTTTCGTACTGATTTGGCAATTACACTTTTACGCGTCAAAATTTATTTATCTTTCTCGTAAATTTATTCTTGGAAAAAGTGCAAAATGTTCATATGAAAAGTTATCGATTGTTATCGATTTTGAATTTCCGTTAAAAGATTGAGACTTAGGTAATAACTTCTTTAAACCTACCCCATCTCCAATATTATATTCCGATTTCATTTTGATGAGTTCTTTTGAAAGAAATGGGAAAAATTTTAAATTAAAAGGAATAATTCTGTAAATTTAAACTACAAAGAGAATTTTTTTGATAAGGAACTATGTCTTCAGACCAATAGTGACGACTTATTCACATATCCAAGCCCAAAGCAAGTAAGGGGCACACAGGCAGATCTTGTTAAAACCAAAAAGAAAGCATCCCCTCGCCATGGAACATCTTGCCTTTTGGTAGCAATAAACTCACCTACAATTGGCAACTCTAAAGTAGGTGCACCAATAAAATGGTCCTGAGAGCGGACAGAACGAGCTCGCGCACACAGAGAGTGCCTACACTGCACTAGCGTTTACTAGACGAGAGAGTACACTCGCGCCAACGCCTACAACTACCAAAACACAAACACATACTCGTAGCCAGTATAGATTCGTGCAACTATGTAATTGCAATAAAAAAGCAGCAAAAACGGCAAAAGCTCTTCGGGGTAATGAAGAATCGCAACTTTGCAACTAGCGACGGCCGCCTGCTCTCCTCGCCTCCCTTGCACGACCCACCAAATATTTGCAATGTTCGCTCGATAGTTGCATACAAAATAGATACAAAGAGAATTTTGCGAAAATGCCCGAAGAGAAAGGAGGTGAGCAGAGGTAATTGGAGGCAGAAGGCAGGAGGCAGGAGGCCAGAGGGACCGGCGAAAACAAAACAAAAACACAAATCAACAAACATTGTGATTGCAAAAAGTAGAACTAAACCGTTAATGCCAACGGAAATCTACGGGAAAAATATGGAGCAAATGCGTCGTCGTAGTCGTCGTCGACGTCGACAGGCGATTGGAAGGTATATATGTATGCATGCTTGTATGTGTGTGTCTATATTTTAGTGTTCGCTTCATAATGAAGTTGAAAATGGGCGGTTTTCGGTTTACAAAACGCACACACACACACAAACAAACACACACACATAAATGCACGCAAATATGGATAGACAAATAGTATTTGTACGAGCTTGTTTTGCCTGAAATTGCTCAATGTGCTTATGGGCGATTGTGGGCTCACCGTAAAAAGGGATAAGCCGCTTGAGCACTGTGTAAGTCGGCTCCGCGGGCGTGTGTATGTTTTCGTAGGCAAATATTTGTGCCTGATTTTCCAATGAAGCTCAGAAAATATGATTTAACTGTGCCAGTTGCTAAATCGGCTAGAAATGTAAATTGCTTGTATCCTTTTTTGGATTTAAAGCGAATATTCTTGGAAGGCAGAAAACATGTATTTGGGTGGGCTCAAGACCAGCTTGGTCCCTTAGCGGATATTAAACGATAAGAAAGAAGCAGATGGGGAGGCTCGTCAGGGAATTATTTACATATTTAAAGAAAAATAGTTGGACAAAAGTGTGAATGGCGTTAGGATCAAGGTTCTGAACAAGCTTTTTTGAGGTCGCCTTGTGAAGTGAAGTCGTGTTGTTGCTTATCTTAATATCTAGACGCTACAAGCTCTACCAAGACTCCTAACTTTTTGAAAATCCTTCCCGTGTTGAAGCTTAAATTGCCGATACTATGGTTTTA